AATTATCTTATTTAGATAATCTTATCTAGATAATATCATCTGGATAATCTTATTTACATAAGACAATATCATCTGGTTGATATTATCTGCATTAGATAACATCATATGGATAATATAATTATCTAAGTAAGATAGTATTATCTAGATAATGCTATCTAGATAGGATATTATTATCTAGGTGATATTATCTAGTTAATGTTATCTAGGTAGGATATTATTATCTAGGTGGTAATATCTAAATGAGATGATTTACATAAGATACTATTAACCAGACAAAGATGTTATCTCAATTATCTTATCTAGATAAGATAATATATATTAGATATAAGATATTATTATTAAATAATATTATAGTTTCTAGATAAGATGGTAGATAATATTATATTATCTAGATAAGATAGTAGATAATATTATCTTATCTAGATAAGATAATTGAGATAACATGTTTATCTTATAAAGAACTATAACATTATCTTATTCAGATGAGATAATATAAATTTAAATAAGATTATTTACTTATGATGGAATTATCTATATAAGATAATATTATCTAGAGTTATTTGTTTATTTAGTGATAGGGAAGGGGGTGAAAAAAAAAAATAGAAAGTTTTTCACGGTTGGTGAACTTTTAAATTTGAATGAGTAAAGAGTAGTCTGAGACGTGTAAGGTCATATGGAAAAGGGGGGGGGGGTGTGTGTGGGGTGGGGTCACACTGTATAAGGAAACCAACAACTCGAAGGTAGTTCTCACAGCAAAAGGATGTCGTTGCCACGTGTCGACGTGACGCAATATACATGCTAATACGATGGCTTAGCCACTTCATGAGTCGAGTACAGGAGAAACCCAGCTGCAAGTCCCATGCACCATATCCGCATATATATATATATATATATATATATATATATATATATATATATATATATATATATATATATATATATATATATATATATATATTGTAAACTTTGTCACACAAAACACGTATTTATTATACTCTCTTGACACTTTAAAAATGTAACTTTTGACCAATGGCCTTGTATTAATAAAAAGAAATAAAAAAACAATTTTAAGGATTTTGAATTTTCTTTTTGATGAAAATTCGATACTAATTTATGAATTTATGATATTTAAGAGAGAGGAAAAAAATAGGGACGTATCTAAATTTAGATAATATTAATAATAATAAATTATTTATTTATTTAATATTATTACCAATTTAAGTAATTGGCTTTAAAAATTTGTTAAAGAAATATATAAATATATTATTAAAGTTAAAATTTTTCGAAAATGTTACTTTGATAGGAAAATATCCAATTTTGTAGAGACGTTCACAGCGGGATTTTCTTTTTTTTCCTCTATATATATATAATATACCACAGTGGACGAAAAGTACGTGTCGATTGAATTTTGGGTCGAGTATCTGTTCTGTATGGACTAGGAACGTGACATGTATGGCATCGACGGGGCAATCTCGAAAATGTAAGAAGTAAAATCGTGATTCTTGAGCATAAGGGACGAAAAGTGATAAGATTTCACATGAAAAAAAAAACCGATTTTTTCACAGCTTTTTATCTGGAAAATGGCCAATAATATATAATGTCCACTTTATAATTTCAAAGTGCAAAAAAATTTATCCACAATAAGTTTTTATTTCATTAATTGTAAAAAAAAATTTCTAAATTATAATTAAAAAAAAAAAAATGTTTCACAAAATTAAAATTAAGAAAAAAATTAAGAATTATTAAATGAATTAAGAATTATTAAATTAATTAAAAATTTTTACATTAGTTAAGAATTAATTAATTAATAATTATATGGTAATGTCTATGTATGTGACACAGCCGAAGAATTTTTAGTGTGACTACCTTTTTTTTTTTTTTTTTTTTAATTAGATGAAAGTAAAATTAAAATACAAGTAATTTTTTATATAGACTTTAAAATAGAAATATTTTCAACTTTATTTAATATAATTTTTGCGGTTTGACGAGGTAATGTCAGATTGTGACAACTATCGCAGCGTCATCTACTTATGAATCTATTAATCACTTTTTATCGGTCGGTAATTCAGAAATCGTGCTAAAAATTTTTATTATCAATTTCGAGGAAAAAAAGAGAAAAACATAAAACTGTCATGTCAGAAGATAATTAATTTTTTCTTCTATTTTAACATAAATTGCAATTAACTATCCTAACTATAATAAAAAAAAATTGTAATAAAAAAAAAAAATTTATATATTTTCAGATTATAAGAATATAAAAAAAAGAGTGTAAATTCCCCACAAGGAAATAAAATAGCAATCATAATCTTTTTGAGTTTTACCCCTATATTGTTGAGGGGCGATTTTTTTTTTCTTTTTTTTTGGTTGACTCAGCATTGGCACGAGGGAAGTATGGTATAAATTCACTCCTGTTAGAATATTACTCTACTACAGCCCTTCGTGAAGAAAGTATAAACCGCGCCCCCAACTCGACTAAAAGGTCATTTTCCCAAACTGTAAAACCCGCAACGACGTTATAGGTCGACAGCCCATCCTACTTTTTCATCGTATGTATTTTCCTTATTTTCTCACCCAGTTATACCAGTTACGTCAGCTGTTCAGGTCTATATATATATATATATATATATATATATAATAGCAGCGACGATTTTCTTTGCTCCCGGCGCCTTTTGTTCTCTCTACGTGTTGCGACAAAACAGACCGAGTTTTGCAATTACTCGAGTGGCGTGTGCGACACAAGAAAAATGATGCTGGCTCACGTCCTAACCAACTTCGTTCTTGGTTTTTTTTTCTCGCGCACGCGAAAACAAAAATGTCACTTTCAAGTAACGAAATAAATATATATATATATATATTGTAATACTGATTAGATCAATGATTGCTTGATTTCATTAAGACAATGAAGTAGTAGAAGAAGAAGAAAAAATGATAGTACAATGAGTGCGTTAGAAATATATATTTTTTTGAATTAGAAAAATTTTTTTATCGTAATTTTCGTTACGGTAATTCAATAATTAGTAATAATTTAAACATAATTTTTGAAAACGAATTGCTAAAAATATTTTATTTTTCTATTGGAAAATAGTTTATAATATACAAAGTCTGATTTTTTAAACTTTATCCTAAATGGATGTTTAGGTTGAGAACAGTGCGCGCGCCACATGGGAGAAAAGTGGGGGACCAATCAGATCGCGTCATCACCACTCTTCGAGCAGTGTTCTCAACCTAATCATTTTGTATCTTTGAAATTAACACGTTTTGTGCAGAATCTTCCGTGATAATAATGAGAAATGGATTTGCAAATTTATAAAAAAATTTGTTTTACTGAATTTTTCAAAAATTAATTAACATTGAAATATTAAATAAAATACTTGTGTGGCAAAAAATATAGATTTAAATAAAAATTTATACGTTTTTATGTTATCCTAATGAAACACTGATAAGTAGCAAAACAACTATTAAACATAAAATATAAATGAAATTAGCACTTGACAAGACAGGAAATTAATATTTGCTGACGTTAAAGCTAGTGAAATTACTACATATCCTAAATAATACAAAATTAAAAAAAAAGAAATTAATGACAATTTTGTTAATATTTAATAGTATATTAATGTTAATTTAAAAAACAATTTTTAAAAATTTTACGATATCAATTGTAAACTTTACAATTTGTACTGTAAACATTACAATCGGTATTGCAAAATTTACAATTTATATTGTAATATTAACAATGAGTATTGTAATATTTACAATTTATATTGTAATATTAACAATGTGTATTGTAATATTTACAATTTATATTACAACATTTACAATTTATATTGTAACTTTTACAGTTTGTATTAAAAATTTTACTATTTGTATTGTAATATTTACAATACACTTTACAAGTAATGATGGTTAACAGCATAATAACTTTTTGTAATAATTTTTAATTGTATTAATATTTGAAGTTTTAGTAAGGGTATTATAAAATTTACTAAATTTATTATAAATGTTTCTAAACGCATTGTAAACATTTTTAAATGTATTGTAAATATTACTAAACGTATTGAAAACTTTCTTAAAGGTATTGCAAATGTTACTAAACGTATTGTAATCATTACTAAATGTTTTGTAAACATAACTAAACGTATTGTAAATATTACTAAACGTATTGTAAATATTACCCAACGTATTGTAAATATTACCAAACTTATTGTAAATATTACCAAACGTATTGTAAATATTACAAAACGTATTGTAAATATTACCAAACGTATTGTAAATATTACCAAACTTATTGTAAATATTACCAAAGTTATTGTAACCGTTACTACACGTAATGCAAAATTAACAGAACGTTTGGTAAAATTTATAATTACCATTTTGTGAATATTACCAAACGTATATTAAAATTTTGTAAATATTATTTACTTTTAAAGAACACCTAGAAAGTTACATTTTCAAATTTAGAAAATAATATATATTTTTTTGTAGTGTTTATTAGTATAAAATAAAATTGTACTAAAATATCTAGTAACGATAAATCTATTTAATTTTTTTTTTTTGCTAAGGTCTCTAATTCTTTCCTATGTGATGTGCAAAAATAATAAAAAAAAAATAACCTAAAATATATGAGATACTTATTATTTTACTCCTGAAATGAAAAATGACTGATGATTTTTTACTTTTAGTGAGACATATTTTTGATACTACACATCTAATTATGATATGATGTACACAATATAATAACAGCAACAACGACAAAATAAAATGTGAATGAAATATAATGTGGTGAGAGGTGGAGTGGGGGGAAAATCTCACATTATGGTATCTGCACAAAGATATTGTGTTTTTTTTGGAATTTTTTTTTTTTTTTAACGAAAGGATATGGTGTGGTGTAATATAAAAAAATGTTTTGTAGCTAAGCGCTAGAAGGATCTCTTGTCTATATATATATATGTCTAGCCTTAGTAAGACTGATTTACGAGGTCTAATAAGTTAACGAAACTCACTGTAATCCCACTGCCAGTAATCACCACCACCTGCCGTAGGCAGCACCGTGCTCCATGCTTCTTTTTACCGCACAAACAAAAAAAGAAAGAAGAAAACAAAATAAGAAATGAACATGCCACTTAAGAAATTCTACAAAAATAATAATAATAATTGTCGTCGTTATTAATCTTTTTAAACGTAAAGGTCTTTTTTTACTTCACAATCATGAATGGAAAACGAAAGCAAAAAAAAAATGTTGGCTAACAAAATTGTAGGTATATATATATATTAATTTTCATTTGAGTACCACCACTATTTGGTAGAACAAAATTTTTTTAGTTTTATAATATTATTTGTAAATTTTACCAATCGTTTATTGAGATTTTAATGAAAATTGTTTATCATATGTTAAAAATAATATTTACCAAACACAATGGAAAATTTAACAAATGTTTAGTAATGTTTCCCATACGTTAAGTAAGCGTTTTACGCTATAAGAACGTTTAGTAACGTTTACTGTACGTAAAGTAATATTTATAAAAAGAGGTTAGGTAGAGTTTACCATATGGTAAGGCAGATTTACCAAATGTTAAGGAACGTTTAACGGACGTTTAGTAACGATTACTATACGTATGGTAATAACTACGAAAAGGTTAAGTAGAATTTACTATACGTAAAGTAAAATTTACCATACGTTAAGGAACGTTTACCGAACGTTTAGTGTAACGATTACTATACGTAAAGTAATAATATCTACAAAAAGATTAAATAAAATTTACCAAATGTCAAGGAAAGTTTACCGAACGTTTAGTAACGATTACTATATAAGTAAAGTAATATCTACGAAAAGGTTAAGTTGAGCATACCATATATTAAGAAAGATTAAAACATACGTCAAGGAAAGTTCACCGAACGTTTAGTAACGTTTATTATACTTAAAGTAAAATTTATGAAAATCTTAAATAAAATTTATCATAAGTTTAGTAAAATTTACCAAACGTCAAGTAACATTTACAGTTTTTTTTATTTCTTTTCTATTTTACACTAATTTCACATATTTCTTTTTCCTCCTTTTATTATACTTAAATAATTTTATTAAAATTTTGCTAAAATATTATATAAATTTATTTATTTTATAGAAAAAAAACTAAGATAAAAATTCGACTTATCAAAATTCGGGTGGGGGAGGTGGTTGACATATAAAGAGGCAATATTATATATTTTACTATATAGAAAGTCATTTTGCCTTCAGCTTAACGGCCGGAAATGAAAAGTGATAGAATTAAAAGGGATAGCTATAAATTCACGTAAGTAAAAAGTAAGTAAAATGTCATAAAAAAAAAAAAAAAAAATGGTTCACACCTGTACGTGAAAAACCGCCTCATTCTCATACATGATATCACATCGACATTTGCGCGTTATGAGAACTTAAGTCATAAACGCTCTTAGCTGGAGATTTACGTCTTCAAGCATTTACGATCAGTAGCGCTCGTTTAAGCTTCAAAACACCTTTATTTTAGAACCGGAAGTTCATAAGAAATTATGAGTTTCATCCTTTATAGTTTATATACAACTATTTTTTTTTTTGTCATTTTCTCGTTATCAAGTGTTTTGTTTCACTAATTTTATTCCCTCGCGTTTTTTATTTTTATGGTGATGGTAACAATGTTTACAACCACCTTGTTTACAGGTTTCAATCTTTTTATTTTTATTTAAATCAATAAAAAAAAAAAGTTTTTCTAATGTGTATAAAAAAAAAATCTCTTAAAAAGGAATTCAAAAATATTAATTTTTAAATTAAAAAAAAAAAAAAAAAAAAAAAAAATTATATTGAAAATATTTATTATTTTTATAATAATTTGGAAGAAAGAGAGAAAAAAAGAATTTAATCCTTGTTATTTGGGAAAAAAAATTTTCTATAAAGAAAAAAAACTTTTTTTTTTCTCTAAAAGAGAAACATGAAGAAAATATGTGTACAATTTAAATGAAAAATTGTCAGGATTTTCGTAACGGAAATTTGTCCTGTGTTAAGCCTGGATTTCGATCTGCGTTTCTCTTGAATCGTGCGAGACCAATCTCCCCATCGCTTGACGATAAATCTCACAGGAAACGAAGATATTTGCGAATTTCTCGCTCGATATATTTAAACATTTTTCATATATACTATATATATATATATATATATATATATATATATATATATATATATATATATATGTGTGTGTATGTATATAGATACATTTCACGTAAAAAGCAAAGCAAACAAAAAAAAAAAAAATTATCCTAGAAAACGGGTCACTAAACAAATATTCTGTCCGTATATTTATTTTACAAATATTGTGACATAATGAAAAAAAATTCTACACGTGTGTGTGTGTTTTGAAATTATTTTTAATATCACTTTTTTTTTGACTATTAAATATAATTTAATATTTTTTTCAAATTACAAAAAAATAATTAATTAATTTTGCTGATTAATTATTTATTACCTATAATTATTATTGAAAATATATTTTTATAATTTTTTTTTCCCCGTTTTCTCCATTTTTCTATATATATATATATATATATATATATATATATTTAGGAGAAAAAAATAATTATAGGTAAAAAAAATTTTTTTTAAATTTTTTCTACACTTTCATAGAGTCTGGATTAGCGTTGATTGAGTTGGATATTTTAGGTTATGAAAAACTGCGCGCGCAACGTGGAATAAATAGAAATTAGCCACAATGACCTCGTTATCCCCACTCTATTAATCCGGACTGTATTTAAAAATGAATTCTCAAAAATTCTGGTAAAATAATAATAATAATAATAATAATAATAATAATAATAATAAAACAACACACTAAAATTATATAAAAAAAAAGAATAAAATATCTAAAATTAGAAAAAAAAATAACGTTTAAAAATTTTTTTTCTTACCTTTTTCACAGTAAATGCCTTCATAGTCACCGGTACGACATTCGCAGATGGGCCCACTGTCAGTTGAAATGCAAATCCCGCCATGTTGACATGGATCGCGTGTTTCACATGCGTCCGTCATGTTCGCTGACACCATGTTTCGCAAACTCTGCAACAGGCACGAGAACAGAATTTTTCAAACCAGTGTTACATGCTCATAAAGCCATTATGTATGGTGTTATGAAACCGTCATCCCCACCCTTCCATCCCCCCCTTAAACTTCATCATCTCGTAAAATTCAAAATTTATCTCCTTTATAATATACATATATATTGTATATCAAGCTCGATATTAAATAAATATTACTGGTAGGTATACTTTTACTCTGCATTTTTATAGCTTATTAAAAAACATAAAAATTTTATTTATAATTTAATTTAAAATTTTAATCATCGTCTAATTTGACATTACTAATAATAATTATGTTTATTAAATTTATATTAATTAACAACAGTAATAATATTAATTATTATAGAGGGTGATTTTTATGTTCCAGAGCGCCTAAAATTTTTCTTTTCAATTTCATTTGTTTTTGTTTAAAAAAAATGATATAAAAAAAAATTTTTAGGGGATCCGGAACATAAAAATCACCCTCTATAATAATTAATAATAATAAAAATATTAAATATAGCTTTTTGAAATCCCGATATATTACGATATGTAACGCCCATTTTTTGACACGCCCTCTTTCAAAAAAAAAAGTTACGCCCACTTTGTTTGCCACAAGGAAAAAATTATTATGTATTAGTAATAATTAATCAAAAAGTATTTCGAATTAAAAGAAAAATATTTACCTCTTTAATAAATGCAAAGATTGAAATGTTAATTTAGTGCCTGATAACCAATGTGGGCGTGGTTTTAACAAGAAGGAGTGACAAAAAAATAAGAAAAAATTAATTACAATTGATTATTGTTTAATAAAAATCCGTTTCGAAACAAAAATATTGTCCTCAGGTGTCAGTATACTCAAAAAAGAGTAAAAAAAATTTTTTTTACCCAGTCTTAATAATAAGGGCGTGGTCTACAAAAAGGGCGTGTTAAACAATAGGCGTCAACCACTATTATTTATTGCCATGTGTATTAATATTTTTTCTTATTCATAATTAAAAAATTACAGTGTTACTTTTAAATAAAAATCCATGTGGGCGTGGTTTCAAAAGGGGTGTGAAGAATAGTCCATATGGGCGTGGTTTTTTAAAAAGAGGCGTGTTTTTCGTGTGAAATTTACTTACAATTAGTAAAATATTTATATTGATGTTTAATTTACAAATAAAAAATTATAAACACAATGAGGGTGTGGTAAAAAAAGGGCGTGTAAAATAGTCCATGTGGGCGTAGTTTTAAAAAAGAGGTGTGTCTTTGGTGTCGAGTTTACATAGTAATATAAAGTTATTTATGTTTAATTTTCAAATAAAAAAACAATTGTAAGCCTAATGAGGGCGTGGTTTAAAAAAGGGTGTGTAAAATAGTTCATGTGGGCGTGGTTTAGAAAAAGAGACGTGCCTTTTGTTTCGAATTTACTTAGTAAAATAATGTTATTGGTGTTTCATTTACAAATAACAAATTGTAAACTCAACGGGGGCGTGGTTTAAAAAAGGGTGTGTAAAATAGTCCATGTGGGCGTGGTTTTAATAAAGAGGTGTGTCTTTTTTTGTCGAGTTTATTTAGTAATATAAAATTATTTATGTTTAATTTGCAAAGAAAAAAGAATTGTAAGCCAAATTAGGGCGTGGTATAAAAAGGGGCGTGTAGAATAGTCAATGTGGGCGTGGTTTTAAAAAAGAGGCGTGTCTTTTGTGCAGAGATTACTTAGTAGAATAATTATATTGATGTTTAATTTACAAATAAAAAAGAATTGTCAACCCATTAAGGGCGTGATTTGAAAGGGGCGTATAAAAACCTTCCGTGTTTGGGTGTAGTTTATCAAATAACCACCATTTGTCTCGCCCAAATTGACTCTCTGCTAACAGTAACATTTTAACTTTAAATTTTAAAAACAATAATCTATTTTTATATAATCGTTAATACAAATTGAAAGGTCTAATTACTAAATCAGAAAGGTCAATGTGGGTGTGTCAAAATAACATCACTTTTCTGGGTGAATAATTTATTTTCACAATATTCTCTAATAGACAAAGTCAATATTTTTAATTTAAATATTCTTCTATGATTAAATAAAAATTTTTTCTTCTTTTTTTTTAATTTTAATCAAATTGAACGATAATTTAAAAAATTTAATATCCGTTGAAATTTTTTCTTTTTATTCGATCAGTGTGCGTTAAAATGATTATTATTATAATTCTATATTTTAAAGGTGAGATTATTCTAAGAAAAGACGGTTTTTTTTTTTATTTTTTTATTTAAAAATTTAATATCCGTTGAGTTTTAAACCTTTACGAGATACGATAAATGGGATGAGAATCTGCGTTCTTCTTTTTATTTTTTTTTATCTCTGTTTCTTCATTTCTTCGTCTGTGCGCGCGTTCTCAATGCATATCTCATGGGACCTCAAGTACAAAAAAAAAAATTTTTTTTTCACTCTTTTTATTGCGCACATTGGGTTACCAGGTCACTCACCACTGCATATTGTCGCACTGTATTTAACACTTATTAAAATAAATATATTTTTTTTTTTTTTAATTCCAAAGATTGTTCTATTTTTCTAACACCAAAAAACTTTGCATTCTCCTCGGAGATTAGTTGATACATTTTTCTTTTACTACGTTATTTATTTTCCAAGTTTCATTTTCTTTTTTTTTTTTTGATTTGTTGAGAAAAAAAATGGTTTCATTTTCATTAAATTTTTTTTTTGTAAAGAAATATGATACGAGTATAAATTTATTTTTTCAACTTGCTAATTATTTAATTAAATGACAAGATTCATTTTATATAGAAAATGTTTTATATTATGAATTTAATTATGAATTTTATTTTATATAAAAAAGAAGAAAGAAGGAAGGAAAAAATAAATGTTTGGGGAAAACTAGAAATTAAAATGTCATTCACAGCTGTGTATAAATTGAGGATATAAAAAAAGAACATGGAAAATTGTATTTTTTTTTCTTTTAATTTTTTATCAAAGAGTCATGGCGCGTTTACAGAAAAAAAGAGAGAAGAAGCAAATTAAAATATACAGATAAATCGCGACGAATTTCATTATATATATATTTGTTAATGAAATTTTCAAGGGGTAATAATTGACAGGTATCCAATTCTCGACAAATTGCATTTTAGATGTGAGAGACTTAAACTTGAATAATTTCTCGTCAAAAGAGAGAGAGAGAGAGAGACTCAATCCCTCTCCCTTCGTTTGCACAACTCACGATTTTGAGAGAGAGAACGCTTTACCTTATCGCAAAAACCGCTAATGTTTCCCGTTGAATAAATTGGCTGCTAAAATATCCTAACGTTGCTTTTGATGTCAAAAATTCCCTCTGGTCAAAGTGGACGCTTTCTCAAAGTTAAATCTCTATTCGGAAAAAAAAACAAATAAGTGACTTGATAAATTTATATATCCTTTTTACTATATAAATTATTTTCGTAAAAACAATTATTTTTTTAATTCAAAAATAAAAAACAGAAATTAATTTCATCTAATTAAAATTATTATCAGTTAAATTACAAAAATTTTTTATTTCTTAACACTATTAAGGAGAATGTTAAATTTGTTAAAGAAAACCAAAAATTGACACATTACTAAATCTTTGATCTTGGAAGAACTATGCAATAAAATTTAAAACTAACCAAATATTCAGAATGGAATTTTCCATTTTATTCAAGTCTCGTGAAGCGGCATCTCCACGGAGGCTTTATAATTCCAAGAGCTAAATTATGCAAGCTGCATATTTCTAATGTATATATATATAACTATATATAACTATAGACAGCTACTCCACCTCCTCCTCCTTTTGCTCCCACTTCAGGTGCGTTGAGGATAGTTACACTAACGATTCGCAAATAAATCAGGTAATCTAATTTGTAGTAAATCAACTCCCCTCACCCTCATATATAGTCAAATTAAAACACAACTAAATTATTTACATCGTGAATTAATCTCCTAATTAATGATCATGTACATTTGTATTGAAAATTCCATTTTAGAAATAAAAAATAAGAATTATAGTAGTTGCCCTTTTTAAAGTAGAAGTATATTTTTTACATTGGTAGTACACTTTTCAAAGTGGGCGTTACCCTTTACTAATGATATTTCTGATTATAGAAATAGTTGTCTTAAAAATGGGTGTTACCCTTCTTCAAATAGGCGTAACCTTTTTAAAAAGTAGACGTTGCTTTTTAAAATAGGGCGTTCATATTTCTGAAAGTAGGCGTGTCTTAAAAAGTGGGCGTTGTACTTTAAAATAGGGCGTTACTACGACTGAAAGTAGGTGTGTTTTAAAAGTGGGCGTCACTCTTCTAAAATAGGCGTAACCTTCTTAAAAAGTAGGCGTTGCTTTTTAAAATAGAGCGTTCATATTTCTAAAAGTAGGTGTGTCTTAAAAACTGGGCGTTGTACTTTAAAATAGGGCGTTACTACGACTGAAAGTAGGTGTATTTTAAAAGTGGGCGTCACTCTTCTAAAATAGGCGTAACCTTCTTAAAAAGTAGGCGTTGCTTTTTAAAAACAGGGCGTTACTATTGCTGAAAGTAGGCGTGTCTTAAAAACTGGGCGTTGTACTTTAAAATAGGGTGTTACTACGACTGAAAGTAGGTGTATTTTAAAAGTGGGCGTCACTCTTATAAAATAGGCGTAACCTTCTTAAAAAGTAGGCGTTGCTTTTTAAAAATATGGTGTTACTATTGCTGAAAGTAGGCGTGTCTTAAAAGTGGGCGTTACTCTTTTTAAAGTAGGCGACAGCTTTTCAAAAAGTGGGCGTTGTACTTTAAAATAGGGCGTTACCATTTTAAAAAGTAGGCGTTGCTTTTTTAAAATAGCGTCTACAAAAGTAGGCGTGTCGGTCTAAAGTGGACGTCACACTTTTTAAAGTAGGCCTCGATCTTTAAATGTTACTATTTTTAAAAGTAGACATTGCCTTTTTAAAAGTGCATGTCACCTTTTTCAAAATAGGCGTAACCTTTCTTAAAAGTAGATGTTTTTTTTTTAAAGTAGGC